TGTAAGGGAAGAAAATAAGGTAACTGTCCAATTTCAACACAAAAGCTGCACTCACTGCTTTGTGCAACAAGCTCTTACTTATCCTTCAATACCCTTTTCAAATGCGGCTCTCTCTCAGAATCCTTTCTGATTTTTTTCTCCCTTAGGGAGACCGAATCAAGTAATGCCTCCTCAGGGTATTCACACTACGTGACAAAAAATACTTCTGCGACTGTATCGTTACTTTGGCTTAGACTCCTTAGCTGGTGACTATGTCCCATTCGTGGTTCTGTCCCCAGCTGCTAGCAGAGACTGGAAAATAGGAAGAGGTCGATAAGGGACTGACCTGAATCGAAGCATGAAATTAGCAGACAGGAAGTCCTGATAAATCAGCCATTGCCACTGGCACGTTGGAAAGGCAGAAAGACAATTTCTCTGCCTGACAACAGAATATAGACACAGATATCAAGGTCAAGGATAGAGAAGTAGAATGAGCAAGAGTGACTGCTGGCTCAGGTGTGAGGCAAGGGCCGTAGTGGGCAGAGGCTGAAGCAAGGAAACACTGGGTCAGGTGATAGGAAGCGTCTGCTCTAGCTGAACCCAGGAGGAAAGGCTGACTCCCAGGAGCCAGCACCAAAAGCCCAGGAACCAAGAAGGCAGCCCAGGGCTGGGGGACAGGATTCTGCAGACTGCACACCACACGCCAGAGTCCAGGCTGGAGCTGGGCCCTGGTGGCTCACACCTGTAATCCTAGCTACTCCAAGGTCTAAGATGGGAGGATCGCCGTTTGAAGCCAGCTTAGGCAGGAAAGTCCGAGAAACTGTTATCTCACCCAACACATTTCCTTTTCCTGTAATTAATCAAAGCTTTGGAAGGGAGGAGAATGAAGCCACCTCGGAGCAGAAACCCAAAGGGAAAACATTAACATTCGCCAAGAACAGAAAAGAACCCACAACTGCCCCATCGGACAAGAGTTTGCCCATTCATTGTCCACCTCATTCCAAAAATGTGATACCCATGCTGAGCGTGCAGAGCCTGTCTGCTTTCCTGCTGATCTCCATGGGGCCAGGTCTTCCAAAGGGACCTTACCAAGGGCACAGAGGTATGGGAAGGAAGGCAGTCAGGCCACACCACAGGGATTCTGGAGCCCCAGAAACAGGAGGCTTGGAAGTCAGAAAAATGCTGAACACCGGGCCTCCTGAAGTCAGGGAAGCACGCACGCCAGGCTCCCAGTACACTCCTCCCCATCCAACACCTGCCGGTGCCCAGATCCTCAGCTTCGCTAGCCATGTGGTACTCACCGCTGCCCAGGCTCCCGTTCCCCTGCAGTGCTGCTGCTTAGAAAGTGTCCCATCTGCCCCGTCCAGCTCTTCACACCCCTCCGGTCCTCGCTTCTGCACCTCCTCCCACACCCCACAGATGTGACGTCACCCTGCCACCAGGTAGGTGTCCAGGGCACCAGTGTCCCCGCCCACAGCCGGAGGCTCCTCCCCCTCATGCTCACTGGACACATCACCTACTGCCCTAAAGTTCTGCCCGGGCCTCACTCCCCTCCGCCCAGGCTCAAGAACACATCCATCCCTGCTCCGCCCGAAACCCCTGCTGATCTGCACCATCAGTCTCAAGAACACAAACCACATGTTTACAAAGTAGAACGGGGAGGCTGGGAGAGGACCTGGATCCTGTGGCCCCGTCTACCCCACCTCCAAGACCCACAAGGTAGGCCTTGCTGCGGAAGGAGACAGTGGATGCCCAGGGGGAGACCTGAAGGCCATGCGGTGCCAACCAAGCTCCAACACAGGCTGCCTGTGGCTCACGTGCCCTGGCCCTGCACAAGACCTGCGATCTCCAGGGGTCCAGGACAACAACCTCAGCCCCAGCGTGCCTCCCATCGTGAGGGGCATGTGATCGTTTCCATAAAAATCAGTATGTTGCGGGGGGGGGGGGGGGGTAAAGCATTTTTCTTTCTGAAATACAAAGATGGGTGTACAAGGTAGGTATGAATGGGGCTACGATTTTTTTTTTTCATTCAGAAACTTCTCCTGGGCTCCGGGGCCTCTGAGAAGGGAACCAGCCCCTCCCGTGTGCACCGACAAGGAGCCCCAGATGCACGCCAGCCTGCCCCTTCTGGTCATCCACCCAGCCGCACTGAGCCAGCTCTGTGCCCACAGACTAGCACCGCTGTGACTGCTGTTGTCATCTTACTGCTTTCTCCTCTTCAGAGCCTCTGCCCAGGTATTTGATCTCACAGAGGGACCTGAACACAGTGGGCCTGAGCTCTGAACCCATGATGGTAGTGCTTGTAGAGAAAGACGTCATTCAAAGGAGAGAGAGAGACAGACAGGCAGAGAGGAAGAGAGAGCACTTGAGGCCCTGGCGAGGCTGTGGGGTCTGTGGTGGGGCGCGGGCCATGTCCACCCCTCTTACCTTCATGGGTCCCCCATCAGCGAAGCTTGCTGTCCATCCAAGTGAGGGCCCCTGGGCAGGAGCAGAGCTCCTATCTGACCCCCCTCCCACCCCGGCCTGGTGTGATGATGTCCTGTGTGGCGTGGGACTCCCTACGGCAGATATTTTTGCCTCCAGAGAGCAACCATTCACCCTGACCCCAGTCTGAGGCTCCTGCACGGCTGGATATGTGTTTCCTTCTGACTTCCATACTTACTGGAGCCGGGTGAGTCACGTCTCCCAAGTGACTGCACACAGCCCCGTTTCTCATGCCCATACTCTCCCGGGAGTGATTTAGAGCAAGGCCTGGTGGGCACGGGAATGCATTCCGGCTGATCTTGTCCTATACTCACGCTTCCCAGAGGCCGAAAAGAGACCGGGCCAAGCTGGTGGCCAGAGCCACGTCCTTCCCACCAGGCTCCCATCTGGATGGGCTCGTGCGCATGAAAACACTCGGCGGCCTCAGCAGTGTGGGAGCCCTCCTCCCCCGAGTGCTCTCCACTGCGCTCTCAGCACCCGTACAGAAGCCTCGGACACTTCATGGGACACCATCCTTACCTGTGAATGAGGCAAGAAGCCAAAGAGCCAAGGAGATGGGGCCTGATCTCCTAGACCGCCACAACCTCCCTGACCTTGACTTCGAACAGAAGCCATCTCTACTGATGCTCTCATCCACAAGAAGACCTTGGGAAGACTCCATGGCCCAGAGGCTCTGGCTCCACTTCAGCTGGGTGCTAAAACTTACAACATTATCTATCCATCTAGCCATCCCTCTATCTACCTATCTGCATTTATCTACCTGTCTAGTTTTAAGAAGGAAAAGTAAGCTGTTCAGGTAGGTACTTTGAAAGCATAAAAATGACTGCAAGTTCAGTCATGACCCAAGGGTTGGATGTATCTGCTCTTTCTTTAGGTGGGAGGAAAAAGAAAAGGAGGAAGGTGGGTGTGTCGGGACACCAGGAAGCAGCCTGAGAACTGGCAGAAAGGAGAGGGGAGACATCACGGAATGAACAGCAGAGACATGTCCTCATCCTTAAAGCCAGCCGCTACAGCAAGGGGAGGGAGGGCTGGGCTAGTAAGGGCAGGAGGTTTCCCCTTAACCCTGTGCTGAGGGGGCGAGGCTCACTTCCTCAGTGGCTGATGTTCAAGCTTCTGGAGAAATAGGTACGCTCCACTGCTCTTTTTAGAAATACCCACCACTGGTTTCTGTCTGTCCCAGATCCCTGGCCATGCTACGAATCCCAGGGCAGCAAAGCCAGCTCTAGTCACTGTTCTGCCCCTAACTGGCTGTGCACCTTCCGCTTGCTGGGGCCTGAGCCCTCTGTAAGGCCTGAGCCAGGAGACTGGATGTCAAGTCAGGCTGAGTTCTGCAGAGCCCTCGTCGCAGGGTATGGCGGGTATGGCGTTCACTCTGAGGACCACAGGCCCTCCGTACATGCTGAGTGGCGAGTGTCCTGGACACTGTGATGCAAACTGCATGGCTCCCTAAAGCCAGGAGTCTGTGGTGTATAGCAGGGAGCAAAGCAAAGTTACAGAATGGGGAAAAGAGGGCTTGCATTGAGATTTCAGATTCCCAAGGTGCTGGGTCTGTGACTGCTGGGTGCCATGACGATCCCATCAGAGCCGGGACATTTGCACTGGGTGGAGGTGAGAATAAACTCCTGGATTTTTTCCAGCCAGTCTTAGAAGCCCCTGCTTCCCTCATGTATGCAAGGGACCTTTAAAAGGAAGGACTAAGGCGCAGACCACCCCGCCCATGATCTTTCCCAGTGAGCTACTAGAACTGGCAGAGGTGAGGTGCTATTGACTCTAGGCTGAGGCCTTGGAGCTGCTCCCCAAACCCCCTCCTGTGGATGCTCCTGTGCCTTCTGACAAACACAGGCCACCATCCTATCACCTGAGCAGCCTCCAGAGCAGAAATACATCTCTCCCAGCCTCCCAGCCAAACCTGGCTCCTTCCTTCTGCCTCTGGCTGGCACCAGCGTTAGTCCTGGGCACCTCTGCAATCTGCCTGCTCAGGGCTTCCCATGTGTGCCACCATGCACACATGTGAGGCTCATTACCCCCAATAAATGAGAGGTTCAGGAGCTTGCCTTCGCCTCCCCAGGATGCTCCAACAGTTGCCTTTTGCAAGTCTGGTTGGCTGGGTGAAAGGACCAGCTTGAGGCTGTCCTCATCCAAATCTGACCTTGTGTCCTGTCCAAGGGACGCTTGGACTTCAAATAGGAGCTTGGGTTTGGGCCCAGGTTGGAAACCTTCTTCCGCCACTGGCTAACTGCAGGAAAAGCAGTTACCTGCCTCAGTTTCCCCTCCCTCACAAGGAGCGGTACAAGGACTGTGTGCTAAGCACTCTACCTGCCATTTCTCCTTTTGTTCCCCCATTACCTGGCGAGGGCTGGAACTCTTTATCAGTTCCACCTCACGGAAGACAGAATCAAGGCTCAGAGAGGCTGCCTGTCTGTAAAGCCAGCCTGCCCAGGGCTAGGGGTCGCTGGGCCCAGAACTCTGGAAGCTCAGACCTGGTGTGCCAGCCGCCCCTCCCTCTGCCCCCCCCCCCCCCCCCCCCCCCGCACTACCTTCCTTGGGCGCGTTGGCGTCCCAGACGCTCCACATCTGCACGAAGAAGAAGGGCGTCCAGCACACGATGAAGGCCAGCACGATGATGAAGGTCATCTTCACCGTGCGGATCTTGGCCTTGGAGATGAGCTTGACGCTGCTGACCCGCGCCAGGGCGGCGGGGCCCGCCGGGCCCGTGGCCGCCGCCGTCTTGAGCCGCAGGTTCTGCCAGATCTTGAAGCTGATGAGGCCGTAGCAGGCGGCCAGCACGATGACCGGCACGATGTACACGGAGAGCGTGATCCACGTGACGTAGGCCTTGGGTCCCCAGGGCTGGATGAAGACGGCCCAGCAGTCGAAGACGCCGTCGGCCACCTCGCGCAGCGAGAAGATGTGCACCTGCGGGGCGCTGACCACCAGGCAGCCCAGCCACGTGGCCAGCACGGCCAGGCGGTCGGTGCGCCTGCGCAGCGCGCGCAGCGGCTGGCAGATGGCCAGGCAGCGGTCGAGCGACATGAGCAGCAGCAGGTAGGTGGAGGCGAACATGCCCACCACCTGCAGGTACTTGACGAGGCGGCACAGCAGGTCGGGCCCGTAGAAGCGGAAGGTGATGTCCCACAGCAGCTGCGGCAGCACCTGGAACACGGCCACCACCAGGTCGGCGATGCTCAGGTGCTTCATGAAGAAGAAGAGGCGCGAGTGCTTGTGGCGCGTGGTGCGCAGCGCCAGCAGCACGCACGCGTTGCCGCTCAGCGCCAGGAAGAGGATGAGGCACAGCACGGCCACCTCCACGCGCGCCAGCGCCTCGTCGCGCCGCGGCGGCCCCGCGCCCGCCGTGCAGTTGCCCTCGGGCCCGGGCGGCGGCGGCGGCCCCCAGCTGGCGTTGGCCGGCCCCGCGCTGCAGTTGCCCGCGCCCTCCATGAACGCGGCCGCGGCGGTGCCGGTGCTGCGCGCCCGGCCGGGAACCCGTCGAGGCGTGGGCGCTGCGGGGCTGGGGTTGAGGAGGCGGGGATGGCGCGGTCCCGGGACGGGGTGTGCCTGGGGCTCCGAGGGTTCGGGGAGGTGGAGGGGACGGGCCGCTCCCGGACGCCCGCGGTGGTGATCGGCGGGATTCCACCCTGCAACAAACCGCGGACCCGTGAAAAGATGGCCGGGGGCGGGGGGCGCACACGGGGGACCCCTTCCGGGAGCCTCGAAATCATCCGAGACTTCCGAGCGCGGCCTCCGGGTCTCCCCGCCGCCCACCCCATCCCCGGACCTCCACCCTCGTCCTCCAGACCCTCAGCGTCTCCCCCAAGCACGCCCACCCATCCCGCGCGCCCTCCGGCCTCCTACAGATAACCGGGTGGGTTCTACATCTGACGGGGCGGGGGGGGGGTGTCAAGGCTGGGGAGAGTTCCCCCCGACCCGCAGCCCGACGTGTGTGCGCGCGGGTCCCGGCAGCCGGGGCTCCCCGCGTCTTGATCCCAGGCAGAGTCACTTTGCGCCGTCCCGAGCATCCCGTGCGCCCCCGGGGAAGGGGGCGCCCGACCCCGAGCCGCCTCCGCTCCCCCCGCCCCAGGCTCTCCCCCAGCCCCACCCAGCCACCCTGGGGACCCCCCGTCCTCCTCCGTTCCCGGGAGCCGGGACCCCGCTACCTTCACCGAAGTTGGCCGCCGCCGGGGAAGTTGTGCCGCCACCGATCAAGGACGCGGGGCGCGTGGGGGCCGGCCCAGGGCGGGAGCGGGGCGGGCGGCGCCCGCGGGGTCTCCGGCCCGAGGTCTGCGCGCGGCGGCTCGCTCTGGAATCCCCGCTCCTGCGCGGCGGCGGCGGCGGCGGCGGGCGCGGCGCGCGGGCAGCGGCGCGAGGCTGCGCCCTGGGCTGGTGGCGGGCTTTTCTGCAGCCGGGGTCCAGGGCTGCACTACCACGTGCGGCCACGAGTGGGCAGGGGAGCCCGGCTGCGCAGGTGCCAGGGCAGGTCAGCCAGCTCCCAGGCCTAAGGAAAACTCCAGAGGGATGGAACCCGTAAACAACCCTCTGTTCGGAGGCCCCCGGCGCTCTTGGAGAAATGGGCTTGAATAGCAATGCGTTCCTGAGTAGATGGTGCCAAAGCATTTAATTGATGTCTCCCAAACATGAGCTATTGTCAGCAGCTCTTCAATTTTTTTTTTTTAATGAATCCTCAGTTTTTGAATACTCTGTGTGTGTGTGTGTGTGTGTGCTGGGTTTTGAACTCATGGTTTCCCACTTCATTGGGCTTGCTTGTAGGCTGGTGCCCTATCACTTGAGTTCTTCTGGAGATAGGGTCTCTTGGATATTTCTGCCTGAGCCGACTTTGAACCTCAGTCCTTCAGATCTCCACTTCCTGAGTAACGGGGATTGAAAGTGTGAGCCTGGTACTCCACTTGAATTCTTCTGATCACACTTGGGTTAAACAGGAATTGGAAATGTCTTCCATGCCAAGCAGCACTTGCACAGACCATCATTCTGTAGGAAGTTTTCGGTGGAAATCTCAAGCAAGGAGGAAACAGGAAGGAAGGCTAGAGGGAGGGAAGGAAGAAAGAAGGGAGGAAGGAGAAAAGGAAGGGGAAGGTATGGGAAGAATGAAGGGGAAGAGGATTGTCTAGAGGGGGTTTAATGAGAGGAGGGGAAAGGTGGATTCTGAGGGATAGAGAAGATCAAAGCATGTTACATACATAATACACACACTAATCTGATGCTCTGCAAAGGGAAGAAAGAGAATATGGTGGAGGGGTTCAAAGTGCATTGCATGCACGGAGGGAAATGTCAAAAAGAAGCCCCTTGTATTCAAATGTTAACATCAATCAATAATTATCTTCATTTAAAGAGATCAGACTCATCTGTGGGCCAAATGCCACTTCTGCCTCCTTCCACACTTCAAAATGGAAACTCTAGATGATACCTCCAAAGGCAGCTGAGATGGCAAATCTGCTTCCCGGCCTCTGCTATTTTCTAATCTAAAACAGCCTTTGCAAGTGATTTACAGTAGCTAAGAATTAAGGCAGAAACCAAAAGGCCAAAATTCAGAACTGAACAGTGCTTTTTAAAATGCATTAAATACGTATTTTCTTCTGACATTTCACTTCTCCTCTTTTAATTATGTAGAGAGAAATGAGTTAGCCAAGACCTGCCAGGATTTCCTCAATCTGCAGTACAATCTTCTGCCAAGACATCCTGGGGCTAAGGCTCCTGGGCCTGGGCCCAGGGATCTCCATGAGCAAGCATTTCAGCACAGGCTCGGGAATCCCCTAGCACTGCCTCATGATGGAAGGCAAACTGCTTCATGCCCTTGAAGGCTCAGTCACAACATTTCCCATAGTATCTGCTGCACAAATGGCAGGTTAAGGTTACAGGAAGCTCTGGTGGGAATTTCACGACCTTGGGCGAGTTCCCTTGGCTCCCTGGACCTCAGCTGCCCCCAGTGGAAAGTGAAACGGCCGATCACAGAAGCCGATACTTGCGGTCTCATCCATGTGGTTTTCTGAAATGATCTGGTCCATGCCATCTGCAAGGGGGAAGCACCCAGCAGGATGAGGGAGCATTTGCCCTAAGAACCCCACACTGGTTCATCCGGGTAAGACAACACTAAATGTACAGAACCCAGACTGCTTGTCTCCTGGAAGGATGCCACCTTCAGGGAGGAAGTAAACTGCACCACTTCTACGGGGATGACCCTCTTTCCCCTAGGTGCCTGGTGCCGGGCTGGGGCAGGCTCCTACATTCTGCATCCACTGAGGATGAGCACTCGGTCTCATGAAAAAGCTAAGTTCTGTAACTTAGCCTTCATCTGAAAAGAGTCAGAAGGGCCACTGAGATCCTCTCTGCCTCCCTTTCATTTTACTTCTCAATGTGAACAGAAAGCAGGTAGGAGGAGAAACTGCTTCCCCAGGGGACCGGCCGGTCATCCCCAGTGAATGATGGAGACAGGCTGCCCTCTTGGCTCTTGTCAAGGAGGCAAACACCCACATAGTCTCAGCGTGATGATAAAAACGCTGATGCAGAGACAGGATAAAGGTGTGGGGGGAGAGCATGTGGGGGACAGGGTGGCTGGATTTTGAAGCTTCAGAACAAGCTCTCCAAGGAGCAAAGGTGAAAAACACTCTTCTCAAACAGTGCTACAGGGCCTGGATGCCATCCGGGATTGGTCAGCGTGGAAGGCCAGGCAAGGAACTCCATGTTTCCTGAGTGTGAAGAGTTGCTCTCCTGGTGGTATTCAAGATGGAAGGTTCATACTGGGTGATGGAGGAAGATGGGAACGTTCTTTCTCAGTTCTCCCTTCTTGCCTTGGAGTTCACCAAGGAGGAAGTCTAACCGCCAGAAACTGCTGAAGGTGGCATTGCAAGGCTGTGTGATGGTGGAGAGGAGACCCTGGGAGGGCCAGCAGGAGAGGCTGTAGGTGTGAACATGGGGTTGACACTGGAAGATGTGAGTCAACAATCAGTGCATCTATGCAGAGAGGAACTGGCGCTACAGAGACCAGCAAGCCCCCAAACCCACAGAGTGGTGGGTAGTCCGGAGACTCGGGAGATCCGAGTGACCCTTCAAGTGTGAAGACATCTGCTGCCAAATTCCTTCTTGCTCCAGGGAAGCCCCTGTGTTCTCTGCAGGGCAGGGCTTCAACTGGTTGGATGAGGCCCTCTCTCATGCTGGAAGGCAATCTATCTTCCTTACTTGAAGTCGATCAGCGCATCCAAAAGCACCCTCAAAGAAGCACATGCACTGGCCCAGCTGAGTGGGGAGCTGACCCATCCCGCAGGAGTGCCTGCAAGCACTGTTCTGCAGAGCCCCTCCTGTCAAGTAAGCAAGCGTCTGGAAGGCAGGGACCGACTGCCTTATTTCAAAAGGCCCAGGAGCCGGCAGAATGGCATTCCTTTAGGATAGAAGGAGGGAGGAAAAGGTGGAGAAATAACCTTCCCTAGGGCAGGTCTGCTCTCTTGAGCGCTGATCCAGCCACCTGGGATGGTACCAGGGTTCAGGACCCACTTCTACCTCTGGGAACCGGCTTAAATGTGAGCATCTTGGGCTGGGAAGGTGGCTCAGTGGTAGAGTGCTTGCCTTGCATGCAGGAGGCCCTGGGTTCGATGCCTTAGTACCACCTAAGCAGAAAAAGCAGAAGTGGCGCTGTAGCTCTAGCCTTGAGCTGAACAGCTGAGGTACAGCGCCCAGGCCCAGAGTTCAGGCCCCATGACCAACAGAAAAAAAAAAAATGAGCATTTCGGTAACTTTCCCATTTTGGCACATTCATGTAGCCTTGGATCCAAGCCTAAAGAGCTTGGTAAGTGGCTCTTCTCCCTTCCTAACCCCTGTTCCCGCCACACCCCACCCCCACCCCAAATCATCTTTCAGCCTCTGCGTGGACCCCTGGCTCCAGGAGGGGATAGTAACTTGCTCATGATGAGAACACAGGGCAGCACTAACTTTGTCACCCTGCAACCTTGCCTGCCCCTACAACGTCCCCCCACAACCTTGGCCCTCTCCCACCATGACCCGGCCCCTGGCTTCCTACATTTGTGCTTTCATCCAGACACTGGGACCCCAGGACACAAGGGCTAGCCCCAGAAGTCCACGAGCTGGCGTGTCATGATGCCACCTTACAACTGAGACTCCCACATCCTTCGCTGAGTTCACCTCATGTGGGATTGCTTCTCAGCCTGTTTTCATTCCTGTGTTGGAGGAGGGAAACACATGAGCTCCTAGTAGAGAGAATCCCGAGCTTGTAAATGGTGAATGCTGCTCTCTGGGTTTGACCACAAACTCTGCTCATGTGGCCAGGTCACTGAACCTCTCTGAGACTCAGTTTCCCAGGGGGCTGTGTGCGAAGATGAGTTTACATTGCTCCCAGGCACTGGCTACTCAGGATCTGAAGATCGTGGTTCAAAGCCAGCTCAGGCAAGAAAGTCTGTGAAACTCTTATCTCCAAT